AACCAACGCTACCGCAATCCTGCGATAGCATTATGTTGAGTCAGTGCCCTTTTCAGCATCACATCACTCATGCAATTGGATCATTATGACTGTTTTTGTTATTTACTTTTATCTTTGATGTTTTTATGTATTATTTTATTTTCTGTATCAAAACTGTATGAGTGTAAGTTGCTGAATAAATGCATGTCTATGTCTATGTCATTCGGAATTTGGGGTCTCCAAAATGGCCGTTTTGTAGGCGTCCACAGCTTCTTCAGGTGATGAAAATCTCTGTCCACGCAATTTATTCTTTATTTTAGGGAAAGTATAGAAATCATTAGGGCTTAGGTCGGGGCTGTACGGCGGATGGTCTAATAATTCTATGTTTTCTTGTTTTAAAAACTCTTTTGTTCTGTGTGCGGTGTGAGAACTCGCATTGTCGTGATGGAGGATGATGCGGCGGTTGCAGTTCTCTTTACGGAGTTCATAAACGACCTGTGGCAAACAAATGCTAGCATACCATTCTGCATTAACCGTTCTTTGTCCCTCAAGAGGAATAGTCGTAACATGGCCGCTTTTGGAGACAAACGTGGCCACCATTTTTTTTGCAACACTCCGTGAACGAACAATTTTTGTTGGCTTTAACTCATTTTCGAACACCCACACTCGTGACTGGTTTTTTGTTTCCGGATGCGTAATGCGGATGTTTCCGGATGATATATCCAGGATTCGTCACCTGATACGATGTTGTATACAGCATTTGAGGATACTGCGTGGAATCTTTCGAGAGTTCTGACGCACCAAGTAACGCGAGCCGCTTTTTGCTCTTCACAGAGCGATGCGGTATCCAACGGGAAAACAACTTTTTTACATCTAATTGTTCATGCAAGATTATTTGTATTTGACTCATGCCAATGTCTAAAGTTGCCTGAATTTCGCGGTATGTCACATGTCGATCTTCCTCAATCAGCTTACGCACAGCATCAAGGTTTTCTTGGGTGACTGCAGTTTTTGGACGACCTTGACGGGGATCATCACTGAGCTTGACACGTCCACGTTGAAATTCAGCAAACCAGCGATAAATTGTGGTTTTGGATGGGGCTTCATCACCAAATGCAGAAATCATCCGGTCAACACACTGTTTTTGTGTTAAACCACTTCGAAAGTCATAATAAATCATCGCTCTTGAATTTTCTCGAGTCAATTCATTTTTCTCAACAACTAAAGAAGTTTGACAAAACCTTGTGACAAGACCGAGAATCTTTTTTTTAAATAAATAAATGGTTTTCGATTTTTAAAACCAAGGAGTTTTCAATTAAAAAGATTTTAATATGACAGGAACAGTGGAAATATTCCATTCCCGATACTTTTAGTGCAGCCCTCGTATTCAATTGGACCAATAATAATAAAGACCATGATATTAAACCTTATTTTATCAAGACTATATCAAATTTAATAATGAATATTATGTAAATAACGCATTTCTAATTCCGGCACAATTTTCCGTAAATAAAGACACATCGGAAGCCCAATATAAAAGTGTTGCTTAACGTATGATATTTATGCGATTCTGATAAACTAACTTATGTGTTAGGCTACAGCTATAATATTGCCAATATAGACACAAATACCGACGTGTACAAGTGATCCAGTTTTGCTAATTTTAGTACGAAATAGTATTATCGATATTTATTCAAGCCCACGCGAGCGAAGCCGCGAGTAAAAAGCTAGTTATGTCTAAGAATTCACTGAATTTATCATACCTACCTTTTTGCTAATGTGTACATTTCCTACCTTCTGACAACATTTGTCTCACCACATCAGGATTAGAATTCTATTCCTGAAAACAAACAATATTTGTGAATTTTATGTTAATGTACATAAACCCAAAATTAAAGAATAAATATATAATCTAAGCTTTTGTATTGTATGTATTAACTCTGTACTACTGTGTAATACTGTTAACGAAAGTTAGTTTAGTATAATCTTAATTAAAAAGTAATCTATATGAAGTAATCTATACAACTAAGTTATATGGCAATATAAAATACTTTTAAAAAGAACAACTATCTCCATGGTGTTGGTATTTCCACTTGGAGGTTGGTCAATGACGTGCGTCTGAAAAATAAACAAATATCAAAATTAACAATAACAAGCATGCTCAATATGCTAAGAATGTATAGTAGGTATAGCATAAAATCGACGCTATAGAAGTATATTCTAGGTTGCTTCTGGTTGCTACACACCAGAGATTTTTAGGGAGTAACTTGGTTTGCGGAAGCCTGAAACAGCGTTACGTTTCAGGAATCTGAACATTTTATTTCATCATCATAATTACAGGCTTTTACAAGTCCACTGCTGGACATAGACCTCCCCCAAGGAACGCCACAAAGCACGGTCCTAAGCCACCTGCATATCCAGATCGTCACTTCATCAACATTTTATTTACTTAAACATTTTTTTCGTAACCTTAAATTTTTATACTTCTTTAAGGCCAATTTTTGGGGTTTACCCATTTTAGACATATTTTTCATCAATAACCCCTCATTATTTTATTATTTATGTTGCACCAATTGTGCCTATGTATAATCTAATTAAAATATTGATGAAAAAGTTTTTACAATTAAGGCATGTTTATAACACCCCAGCCAGGAAAAACTCAGTGCTCAATATTTTTCTTTTCAAATTACTTTTTATATTACTTCCAATACAGCTATAAATCAAATAGTTATGAATAAAGTGAGTACAAGATAAGGATTTTTTTAGGATATGCCAAATTATTATGTTTTTAACAATTTATACTCTCTAAATTTAATGTAAGAGTGAATATTTGTCTCTATACTGCTAATATATGTTTTGATGCAATCCTTATTGGCTTGAATGGTCTAAGAATCCTTACAAAGAATAGCTTTCGTTATTTTTTGACAAATGTATCCAGGAGTGGAAGCTGAGCGGTGGACTTTAATTTTTTCCATGACTGCATCATTCACCAGAAATTTTTCTCTTTAACTTGCTTGTGAAGAAGACTGAAGATCTCCGAGAAAAATTGCTGGTGAATAATGCGGCCATGGATCCCATTTTCTTTATTATTATGAATGTTTTATGAAAGTCCACCGCAGGCATGAGACTTCAAGTTAGTTTTTTGTATCTGCTATTCTTAGAATAACTGCTATAATGTCCTAAATATTTGGTCTTTGTTAACTGTTTATCCAGCCATTTAACTAAAATTACTAAAAGCCTAGTGTTTTTAAATACTTATCCACACCCACGGAACCACATTTCATTCTTTAAAATAAATGAACGAAAACTTTAATAAGTATGGTGTTTTATTTCTTTTAAACGTAACTTAATTTTTATTGCACTCATAATAAAATTTTGAATAGTTGCAACTGAAAAAAATCTTCTCATATAAACTAGGTACCTACTATATTAAAATGTGTGATGTGAAAAATTAACAATATGTAATTCCAATTTCCATATACATTACATCATATAAAATACATATACAATATCAACAGTAATAAAGAACAATTTACATCCAGTCAATAAAATACAATTAAAAGATTTTCTTTAACGTTACATATTGCATGCTTGGTTTACAACTTGGTTGAGATATTTTTCTGGCTTTTCAACAACTTTATCCCGCCTAAGTCCAGTATTCAGAGACAATTTCAAGCTTAAACTCTAATTCCACAATATTAAACTATATCATACTATGTTATACAAATTTTGATATGAAGTTTGAGTTTATGACTGTCTCTGTATACTAATACATTAACAGTTTTAACAGAATCAGATTATTCATATTTAAGTGACACATACACACTTATTTTGTAATGTACTGGTAAAAATATGAACTCAAATATTTTTATTGTGCAAGCCCCCTTAGCTTTAACCCATTCCATGCCAGCAACGCACTCGCGTGCGTTTTAGTTTTTTTTACTTGTGTGCCTGCAACGCACCCGTATGCGTGTAGTGTATGTTTTAATAAAGTATCATTTATTCACTGTGCGTTGCATTATTGTTGCCATTTTTTAATACACCTCAATCTACATTATATTTCTGATATAGCAACACCGTTACAGTAGTAAAAGAAATGTCACATTTGAATTGACGCCGGTTTTTGTGTTTGTGATTTTTGCTAGTATTATAAATTAAGTTTTTACAGTGATTTAGGTGTTAAAAGGTAAGTAAATATGATTTTTTAATCAAATTTAGTCATTTATTTATAACAACAACGTAATTTTAAGTCTACTGATAACATTTTGGATAAATTTTGAAGTCCAAAACATACCAACGCTAATGTTGCGTTCAATGGCATTTCTGAACGACTTTGTTCATGGATGGTGTTACACATCGACAATAATCGGTCGCTCAATGTTACTACCGCTATTGTAACTTTATAATGTTATTTTATAACTTGAGATATTTAACTTCAGTACAAAATAAAACCGTTTGTGAAAAAACGCTTTTATTTTTAAATTTGAATGGAAGTAATTGTGTAAAGTAACTAGTATTTTTGTCGTTTATAGGTCTTTTGTTTTCTCCTCAAGCATTATGGCAAATAATAATAGAGGTCGTCGTTTGGTTGAATTGTCATTTAATACTGCCGAAGGTACTAATTTACAAGCTAGAAAAGAAAGTTATTCACAAGATAGGTACAGACAGTTGATCTATAACTATTAATATGAATGGTTAGAATGATTTTATCTATTTAAAATCAATATATTGAATGTTGTTATTTTTTAAAGTTCAACAAATCGGATAATAAATGTTTCAGAGATAAATGTAGCACATCAGGTTTAAAGCGGAAAAAGGCGAGCTCTTTATATACGGCAGTAGAAGTGGAACCTAAGAATATTCGGCGAAATTCTATTGAAACACGATGCCCAATATTGCCATTCCCACATTCTGTTCAAAGGTAGGTAAACCTACACATTTCTTTTCTTTAGTTTTGAGAGTATTTTTAAGTTTAGTTTTTCAATAGAATATTGTTGTTTCCGTAAACAACAACTATTCAATCAGTCTCCAGTACTTTGCACATCTTCTAGTGGTGTAGTTAAAACTTGGTCTGTCGAAAATGTGTCAGAATTACATTCAACTTCGAAGGTCATTGTTATCGATATGGTTGCCCAAGCAGACTGTGATAACAAATCATTTACTAAAATCTTGTATAATGTATTCTGCTAGAATACCTACATTGCCTAATCTTTTAGCTTTTTTTTAGATACTGTTTTACATAACTATGTTGAAGCTCTTGGGCTAAAATAAATAAATATTTTTCATTTTACTATAATTATTATTATGAAAATACGTACTTATAATATAATTATGAAAAAGGAGAATTAAAGACTGCTTTCATCCTATATGAGTATTTTTATTTCTGTCACCTACCCTACACCCTAACAATTTAACTATTGGTTCATGTTTCCCAGTCGTGCATAAAGCCATCCACTATATACTCTCAAAAGTGCGTTCTCGGATCTCTCGAAAAACTTTTTTCACCATGTGCCACCCACGCACCGTATGCGTTTGGTGTATTTTTTCGTATTTATCAACAATATTTATTTAAAAAAAATCTAAATACATCATTAGTAATCCATTTCCTACCATAAAACATAATAAAAATTGGTGGCACCTGGTCAACAACTTTTAAAAAAGGGTGGCATCGAATGGGTTAAGTATATTGTAACACACATAGAATACTATAATACATACTAGAATGGCGGAGTGGGCGGAGCCCGTGTAGTCACTAACATGTCAATTCGCACCTATAAATGTCAACACAATCAACCGTTTCCAATTTTCGTGTCAAGCGTCGCTGCATGCAAATTATTTAAAAAACGGTAAATTGCGCCATAATTACTTGCTGAAAGAACAGCGGGAAATGGAGTTTAAATAAAGGAGACTTATCTTACAACCAGTAAGTCGAAACTATTTATATTTTGTGAATATTAGAAACAAAAATAAAGAAATATTTATGTGTCAAAAACATTAATCAAAAGTCTAATGTGTAAATTTGCTCAGTCTGTCAATACAGCGAACCGTCATTGTTTGTATGTGTGCTCCCGGCGACGGTGATCCACGTACAAAATAAAGTTGACAGCCATTCTATTGTGTATTATAGTATTCTATGGTATCACAACTTTGTTGTTCTACCAAATGTAATAAAATATTTTTGAAGCTTTTCATGGGGCTGTATGTCTAAAAATAAATATTTAAGTGACATTTTATACCTTAAGCAATTTCAAATAATTTGGTTTTAGTTTACTTAAAGTAGCTGCATCTAGCTCTGACACTCTGTGTATTCTTAGATGACTTTTCATATTGCACCGTTGAGCGTAACCCCGTCCACAAATGGGGCATTTGAATGGAGTTTCGCCAGTGTGGAGTCTCATATGCTCTTTGAGGTAATCTTCATGGAAGAAACTAGTACCACATATTGAACATACTGCTGGTCGATCACCTGAAATTAGACATTTATTTTTTATTGAAGTAACAAATAAAAATTTTAAGTTGTAGAAACATGTTGTAGCTATATTTATGGTTGTAACACATGGGTATGCTCGACCGGGGAAGGGCCACCCTCTCACAGAATACCAGCGTAAAATAGCAGCTCAATGCTGCTGTGTTTCATATAGTGAAGAGAACCGGAGACCCTTTATACTTGAAACAAGGCATTTCATCTTAGCTCTTTGGGGTGGCAACACATCTGTAATTTGATTCTTTATGGAGGATAGATGTAGATGTCTATAGGGCACAGCACCATTCACCATCAGGTGGACTGTGTGCTCGTTTGCAACCCTTTATTAAACTCGTAAAAAACTAGTCAACCTGATAGTAAATTGATGCAGCACCCATTGACATTTACATCTTCCTTGATGAAATTGAAATGCAGATGGCAATACCCTGATGACTAAAATCCCTAGCTACCAGTAAAAAAAGATTATGTTTATATATAATAATATTATATTTTGACTAGCTATTCTCCGCCACTTCGCCCGCGAGGAATTTATTTCTTTATTTATTTATTATATTTTATGGGCTTTAATTTATTTATGTGTAACCCTAATTATTTTTCTAAAATAAAAGTAGCCTTATTAACTCCCTATAACATCAGCTATCTGCAAGTAAAAGTCTCGTTAAAATCGGTCGAGTCGTTTTGTAGTGGGAACAAAAACACATTTTTAAAAATTGTTTTTTTAGTTCTCACTACCATATATACTTACATACGCGTTTAGTGAAAAGCTGTTATTTTTAAATAATAAACAAATACTTCAATTTCATTTATTTGTATAGTTTATTTTTAATTTTTTATAGGATAGGGTGACAAACGAGTACACAGTCCACCTGATGGTAGGTGGTTGCTGTGGCCCATAGACATCTACATCTATCCTCAATTACGAATCAAAATGCAGATGCGTTGTCACCCATGGTGACTAAGATGGAATGCCTCGTTTTCAGTAGAAAGGGTCTCCTATTCTCTACACTAACAATACGAAACACAGCAGCATTAAGCTACTATTTTAGGCTGGTATTCTATGAGAGTGTGGTCATTCCCCGGTCGAGCAGACCCACTCATGCTACAACTATACTACTAATATAACTGCAGCATGGCTCTACCACATATAAAATATTAAAACTAAGCAAAGATTGTACATTTAATACAGTAATACTTATGTTCATTATATAAACTTAGAACATTTATCACATCTAAACTGTCTTTTTTGTACAGGTATAAACAGTAAATATAACAGTACAAGATATCTCTTTCACTTTGGGTTTTTACAAGTGGCATATACAACAGGTATTTTTAAATTACATAAAAATTAAAGGTGACTTTGTAGAAATTAATCACATGCAAAAAATACTTGAAATATATTTCTTTAAGTTATTGTTCTTTAAGTTTTGGTTCATTTTTAAATTTTATAATCAGATAAGCATTATGAAAGAATTGCGCCTGTGTGTTAGCACATACACTTGTGACACCATAATATCCTGCACAGATTTTAACATTTGAAATTATTCAGTTTTCATTTCGTATGGTCAAAATCAGCCTGGACATAACATCATATTCTAATTTATAAATGTAAATTGGTATATACCCAGGTTTGTTACACAACTATAATATATCAGAGGAGGAACTTTACAGCTAACTCTTTTATAACGTGGTAGAGCCATGCTCCAGCTATATAGTTGTAGCAGGAATGGGTTGGCTTGGCCGGGGAAGGATCACACTCTCACAGAATATCAACGTGAAATAGCTTCATGCTGCTATGTTTTGTATGGTAAGTGGAGGGAATAGGAGACCTGTTGTACTGGAAACGAGGTATTCCAACTTAGTACTCAGGGATGACAATGCTTTTCGATTCTTATTTGAGGATAGATGTAGATATCTATGGGCCACAGCATCCATTCAGCGAGTGCGAGCACACTATTAGACTAGATTTTTTATATAGTAAAGCCACACTGCAGCCAGAATGGATCCTCTAGTCTGGGTTAGGACTATGCAGAAAACACCACTACAAATACAAAACTTCTTATCTTGGTCTAGAGCAGGGGTTCCTAAAGTTAACTAGAGCAGGGGTTTCCAAAGTGAACTAAAGCAGGGGTTCCAAAGTTAACTAGGGCAGGGGTTCCTAAAGTTTACTAGAGCAGGGGTTCCTAAAGTTAACTAGGGCAGGGGTTCCTAAAGTTAACTAGGGCAGGGGTTACTAAAGTTAACTAGGGCAGGGGTTCCTAGTCAACTAGGGCAGGGGTTTCTAAAGTTAACTAGCGCAGGGGTTTCTAAAGTTAACTAAGTCAGGGGTTCCTTCCTAAACCCCACACTGTTTAAAAACTTTAGTTAAAAATATTTTAGAAGTGAAACTTTTATTAAATCTAAATGAAATTATGAAAAAATACTATTTTGACAGTTTTATTAATAATTGCTTTATAGTTTGGTATGATGTCCGACAATTGTGTGTGCGCATGTCTGGGGTAGTGTGCCATCTAGACCTGATATTTGTTTTCTGTATTAATGTAAGCTGAAAACCTATTTCAATATCCTAACACCAACTTATAACATGCAACCACGGGTAGGAGATGCAACCCAACACACAGTGCATCTGCGCCGTGGCATTATCCCAATTCCTGTTATGCTAACTACAATGTACCTACATAAATTTTTTTAAATTTATTAAAGTTAGGACCACAAACAAGTTCACAATTATCAACTTATTTAATGTAATTACTACACATTTTATATTATTGTGAACTGAGCAATGCTGGTCACTTACTTAAGTATAACATTTTTTCAATGATAGATAAAGCTTGTTAATGAGTATAACTTGACATTGACAATATCTTGTTATTCTTAATCTAGAAGTAAAATCTAAACACAGTATCGACGAATAAACATTGTCGGATTATGGTAGGGTTATGGTAGGATATATGACACCACTGCTCATTAGTTTTTTTAAATGGTCATATCATATATTCCATTATCTACTCAATGAGTACTTGTTTCAATTTTTCAGTGACAACCTTCTTATAATTACCTCGTCCAATGGCATTAATATCGATATCATTAAAATTCTCATTGTATGAGTGCATCAATAAGAATACATAATAGTAATGGGTTCTGTCATTGCATTTTTTGCACACTATTTCAAAATAATATTTTTGTACTACACTATGTATAATTTCATGGAACCTTTAGTTTCCATAGGAATCTCTGGCCTAGGGTATGGCTGAGTAATGTAATAAGAGTGTATATGGTAAGCATTCACCCCAGCAACACTAGCGGGAGCACCTCACAGTTATTGAAAAGAGAGTGCAAAGTATAGTTTTATATTACCTGTGTGTACAGATCTCTCATGAACAATGACTGATTTAGCACACTTATAAGTTTTGTTACAAATTTTGCAGGCAAATATTTTCTTAGGTTTTAAGTTCTTGTTATGAACATTTCTGTAGTGACTTGTTAATTCTCCTTTAAATGCAAATCCTCTTCCACATGATGCACAAACAAACGGTTTCTTATTCTCATGTTTTCGCATCATGTGCCTCTTCAAATAATATTCAGAGGCACAAAACCGGGGACATTTCGGACACTTTACAGGCTTTTTGAAATGCACTTTTTTCTTGTGCACCGATAGCTTATCTTGATCTTTAAAAACTTCACCACAAAGATCGCATAATTTAGGTGGAGGTTGTTTCTTTACTTTAGGCAATTTTGTTTTTATTACTTTTTGCAATTGCCTTACACTCTGTTGGGTTGGAAGCACAATTTTGTTTGCACTCAAACTGTAAGTTAAAAGTTCCTATGGATTACTTAATAACATGAAAGAAAATATAATATAAGATTTCAATAAAAGAACATAAAAAAGATGGTTACATTAGCAAGAAAAATTTGTTGTCAAGGCAAACTACACAGTGACAGCTTCTTCTGACTTAACGTTATGCGGGACAAATAACAGAAATTCTTATTCCTTAGTGTTGTAATGCATAAATAGAAATAAGAGTATATTTACATATATTAGTGGTCTTACTATACTTACAGTGTTAACCAAAAATTAAAGATAAAAATAAAATTACCACCATTCTTCTCCAGTCCATGTATATTCAGCTTCTAAAATAGAAGTTGCTATTCTGTTGGTTTTATTTTTTTGAAGTTTTCTTTTACAGACTTTTTTCCTAGCATTTTCTTTTTCTACTTGAATTTTTCTTTTAACTTTAACTTGTGATATGTTTAATTTAGTTTGGTAATTTGTATTGTTGTGTGGTTTCAAATCAACTGTTGGTTCATTTTTGACACCAATTATTTTTAAATCGTCCAAATGATCCACACATTCATATTTGAAGTCTGTTTCATCTTCTTCTTCAAGAAATACGCTACTTTCTAAAGATATCTCTTCTTGTTTGACATTTAACAATCCATTTTGTAGTATCTCGCAATTTTCCTTGAATTTATTAATAAAATTATAAAGAACGTCAAGTGTTTCATTACAATTTTTACATATCACACGAGGATATCCTTCTATATCTTCAATCTGAGAATGAAATATGAAATAAGAAAGCTGCCTACAAAATACAAATACTTACAAATTAATTAAGTGGGAATAAAATAGCTTACAGTTACATGTAAACATAATGATATTTTTGATCGAATATCTTGATCAAAATTTTCAAAAATTGGATATGTGGCCCCATTTTGAAGGCATATTCTACAAATTGCATTATTGTTATTCATATTGGATTCATTGTTCATACGTATGTCTTATAGAATTAATATAACAAAAAGAAAAATGTTCTATTGAAAACATTTTGTTTTCTAACATCATTTGACATTGACACTTTGCTGTCTCTAGTACATAGTCAGTGGGTGCGTTTGGCAGAAAAAGCGCTAGCAAGCGCTTGTAAGCAAAATGGCGATCGTAAGCGGTAAACGCTGTCAAATCGTAAGTAGCTATTTTCCTCCAGGACACGATGTTAGTTTTAACCGGGGAACCTAACCTAATTTAAATATATCTTTGTAAAGTATTCATATTAAAAACTTACCAATCATGAATTTTTAATAACATATATATGTTTATTCATGTCATTATATTACTTAAAACTAATATTGCACAAAACAACTTATAAACTCTCCTTCAAAACAAACAAATTAAATAAGCAAAATGGCGGATTGTGTCAACGCTACTGAAGTAGCAATCGTGTCCTGGCCGAACACTATTTCAGCGCTTGCTAGTGCTTTTTTCTGCCAAACGCACCCAGTAATCTATGCTTTGCTGTCTATCATACAGATTGATAGAAGACAAGTGCTGCCAAACATAATATTTTTTCTTTGTTTCTGGACTGGTATTATTGTACTTTTGCCAGTTTCAAGTATTTAGAAAATTATAATTTATAATAATTTGTTTCAAAACTTCTTCACATTACATTAATGTAGTGCATTGTAGAGCTTTTGTGAGAATTTGTGATGACGATCACCATCGAGACACACAATCTTACTCAAAGACTACGTTAGTACTCTTATCCCTTTACCGCATGGAATTTTTAAATCAACTTAAAAAAAAATATTTAGTTCTATACCTTATACCTGTTGATATAAAAATATTTAAAAAAAAAATCGAGGTATTATTCATTACAAAAAAAATATCCAAAGTTTTGGTTCCAAATTAGGAACGATATGCATTCAAGCTTATAATTGTACGTGTTCCATATTTGGAACATCATGCAGTGTGTTCTACTTTTGGATAAGCATGTTTTTTTTAAGGTCATAATTTCAAATTTATGTCTAAATAAAAACATATTTTAAGAAATTAAATACTTATGTGACGTCGTATCAATATAATTGCAAATTTATTTTATTAGAAAAATGTCAAAAATATGATTACTAAAAATTGTGAAGTTTTTATATAGGTATTATTATACATATAGATTTTATAATTAAATTATTTATATTTAATCAATTTTTTAAATTAAGTTACTTCAATTAATTAAAACTACATAAAAATATATTTACTTAATATTTTTATTTTCATACATTTAAGAAATTAGTTTATTAAAAATAATACAAAAAAACCTATGCGAAAGCAAACATTTATGAATTTTAATTTATTTATTCAATCATGCGACATGTGAAATTTTTTAAAACAGTTGCGGTCCTTATTCAAGCATAAATAACATTTGCACTTAGTACACATTACTTGGGTTTTTTGACCACAGCCGACCATCTTACACCTTTGTCGGTCAGTCTTCCACTCCGGCCAGTGATTAAAGCCATCTTCGGCTACTTCAACAGGAGGCAATTCAATGCGGCGTCGTTTTTTGTCTTTTTTAATATTTTCTATATTTGCATTTAGCGGTCGTCCTCTGCGAGTTGGTGTAAAAACTCTGGAATCTTCTTGCATCAGAATTTCTGCCACCATTAATTTAAAATCCAGCAAGGGTATGTACATGTCTTCACCTTTTTGTTTGGTTCTACGTCTCCACAATAACCAACTATTTACACAGACTAGGTCTATAAAATGGAAGAACAATCTGTGATACCACTTTTTGCTTCGAATTTTAATCCTATAAAAACCTAGCATAGAATCTAATAAGTCTACGCCGCCCATATATTTATTATAAATTGTAATAGCCTTTGGGCAAGGGATATCAATTTTGGCCCTTTTTTTCTTTAAAAATCTTTTCACCATTGCCATGGGTTCTTTGCCTACGTATGAAGAACACAGGCTAACAGGTTTATTGTCTACCCAAGTAGTAACGGTTAATTTGACATCCTCATAAATGGTAGATTTTTCCGCACAATATCCTCTTTCTTCTTTCATAATAGATTTTTTTTCTATATTTATATTGGGTGCTCTATTGAGCTGAATTGTTCCTAAAGGAAGGAGTCCTTTTTTATGCAAGTTGGCCATCAAAGGCAAACTAGTGTACCAATTGTCCACAAAAATTTTATAATTAAGATTTTGAGGAACAGTGTTTAACAAACGCTGGACAATGTTTCCTGGTATTCCGAGGTCAGGGCAGTTCTCTGGCGGATCAGGGTGTTTTCCAGTATCAACCTCAAAATCGTAGCTAAAGCCACTGGCTCCGCTTAGCACATAATTGAGGTAGCCCCATTTGTGTGGTTTTTTGGCATTATAACGCCTCATACCAGAAGTACGTGCTTTGGTAGGAATCATTTGTTCATCAATTGCCAAGTATTCTTCTTTAGGCACTTGTAACAGTCTTTCACGCAATATATTAAGGAAAGGGCGTATCTTTTGTAACCGGTCAAAATTTGGATCACCGGACTCCAACTCATCATTTTTGTTAAAAAAATGTAAAAACCTTTTTACTTCTTCAAACTTGTTACAAGTCATTGCTGAAGCCACCTTTTCAATGTATGTACCTTCCTTCCAATAATGACGTGTTGTTGGAAGATGCACCACAGACATATAAATTATTATGCCTAAAAATTTACGTATGTCTTCTTCCGTGACTTCATTGTGGTTGCTTTCGGTGATTTGATCAGCATATAAGTTGCTCTCCCTTACAATTAAATTAATCGCTGAAGAAGGAAATAAAAATTTAAAGAAATCCATGGGCGCTTCGAGTTTCATAATTTCATTTGGGAGATCTTGGCATCCTAAAAACGCAATATGTGACTCGTCATACGCCATACTTTCATCAGACCATACACATTTAACCTTCTTTCTCTTATTTCCTGTGCGCTGTTTTGACGTAGAAGGCTTGCTTGAGATATCTTCTTCTTCCGTTTCATAAGGAATATATTCGTCGCAATCATTATCAAGAGCGTCGTCATCTAAATAAATTTCTTCAAATTCACCTACATTTCCACGATCATCATCTGAAGCGATTTCATCGTCACTGCTCTCTGGAATGAAAATCTCAGGACCTGGGTTTCTATAAGTTTCATCATCCGATGCCTTCTCATCTTCACTACTCTCTGGGATGGAAAATGCAGGACCTGTGAAAAAATATTATACATTCATTTCAGAAAAAAATCATCCCCACATTAAGTACGTGTAGGGGAGGTACCCCAGAAAAAAACATTTTTTATAATTTTATTTTAGCACTTTGTCGGCGTAGTAAATACACATATCCATGCAAAGTTTCATCTTTCTAGCGCTAACAGTTTGGACGGTAGAGCGAAGACGGACAGACGGACGGACGGACATGACGAAACTATAAGGGTTCCTTGACGTATACTACGGAACCCTAAAAAAGACTGGTCAATTCGATGGGACTGGCTGGATTTAGCCCTCGCCATCCAGGTTTGAGTTCTAGGTTAAGATATAGTTAGCAACCCGTCCCGGACGTGCCCGGGGATGTATTCTATACCTAAACTTTCCTCAAGAATCCCTCTATCTATTGTGACCACCGCATGAAAATCCGTGCAGTAGTTTTCGTAAACAGACAGACAGATAGACGTGGCCGACGGCTTTGTTTCATAATATTTAGTGAAGTGATGATGAGTTCATATATAAATAATCAAAACTAGGACGAGTATAATTAACTTACACTGCATAATGTTCCAAATATGACCAAGGGGGTTTAACGAACACATTGCATGAAGTTCCAAATTTGGCCAGTTAAAAAGCGCCTGGCTGCATTTTGTTCCGAATTTGGAACAAACTTTGACCGATTAATTAAACAAGATACTATAAAATATACTTACGTTTTTTACCATAAAAGCGCTGAGGATCCATTTTTCTGCAACACTCACACAGTTTTTTAATTTTATTGCAAGAACAACAACACTTATCGCTGTATGAAGCTGAGAAACGTCGGGCTCCTACAAAATGGCGGCCTCAACTGTTTTGTCCAGAGATAATAACGTTTCAAAAGACTAGAATGGAGGTTGTTTATAGTAGCTTAGTTAAAGCACACCTTACTTTTGTTTGTTGATGCAGAACGGAATAGATAGATGGCGTTGATAACATTTTACAAGGAAAAAATTAAAGCGTTCCAAATTTGGCACAGTATGCGGTAAAGGGATTATAGTTTGTGCTCAAAGACTAAAATGTAGCTTGACTCTTTGGTAATCACAAGACCAAGCATAGACAATTATTTTATCGAGCAATCGTTTTCTGTCATCAGGTGATAGGGATTGGGAAAAATTTCTGAAAAAAGGCAAAACGCCAATATTTTCCTAAATTAAAAATGTCTGGAAAAGATAGATTAGCTATTTTCCCTTCCCGGGGGTAAGTTTTATCTTTCAATTGTGGTTCATATTTTTTCAAAAATTACGAATTATAAGAAGTGCTCATAAATTATATTTTTCTGATTTTAGTGCTCAGATGTTAATAAAGGCTCGATTAGCTGGAGCACAAAAAGGCCATGGACTTCTAAAGAAAAAAGCTGATGCTTTGCAAGTCAGGTTCCGTATGATTTTGAGCAAAATTATTGAGGTAAGTCCGTTTAAACCTGCGAATAAGAAGGCCCTGCAGTATTTGATAGATTAGTTGTAAAAAAAAACCTAGCAATAAGAAATTAAAAACAAATTTATTGCATCAAATAGGTATATTTTATTTTCAGTATTATTATAGTTAAGCCATTATTAAATTTTGTAAAATATATTATACATTTAAAATATAAGTTACATTGGATTTGCTAGTGTAGTTCTTATAAATACATATACTTATTACTATTTTACAGACAAAAACCCTCATGGGGGAAGTAATGAAAGAAGCTGCATTTTCCCTTGCTGAAGCTAAGTTTACAACGGGAGACTTTAATCAGGTTGTGCTGCAGAATGTCACTAAAGCCCAGATAAAGATTCGCTCCAAGAAGGACAATGTTGCAGGTAAATATTATTTGAGAAATACTGATTTTGGGTTTTTCAACTCATTGAATACTTAATATGAGTAAACTCATAGTAGATGACTATGCAAGACGCCAGTTACGAGTTTGGTCATACTACTTCACACACACAGTAGTCACTTGAAACAGAGATAGATTAACATTCTGCAAATGACTTTTATGTAAATTAGCACCTTTAATAAAACAAACCATAAAACTTGAGTAGAATCACTTAATCTAAGATATGAAAATATGTACTATAAAACATAAAATCACAGCAATCTAGGAACAATTTTAAGGGTTATTTTAGTTTAGGTAGATTTTAGGTAAGGTATTATTACCTTACCATCTTTTTAATTTTACCATCTTTTTAAAAGATGGTAAGAAGGTAATAATACCTTACCATCTTTTTAATAAGACAGAACACTGATATTATTCTAATCTAACATCTGTGTGATATATTTTAAAGCAGTTTGTAACACAGAGTTGTACAGGTTTCTGAGGACACAAATCACAAAAATAGGCAGTTTCACAACGAAGCTTGTTTTTAGTGCAAATTCTGCATAGCTTTGTCCGATTAGCCTTCTTTTCAGTTAGCAGGATCTTAGACAGCATGAAAATGTTTCCGCATTTAAAACACGATTCACCAACAGTCCAGGCGGATAGTGCCCTTGTGTCCAGAGAATAATATCAATCAAACCTTTTACTATTAATTCCATGAACTTCAAGAGTCTAATTTTGGAACTTGGATCTGTTTTGCGATACAACTTATGTGCATTTTGCACAAATATATCAAAAATATGTAGGGCTGTTTTCTTATGCCAACGTAAAGTTTTCCTTAGGTTTGAATAGTAAGACATCATTTGATCAGCTCTTCTATACTGGATATTCCTAAATTATAGTCTGCAACAATATTACGTTTGTTAGAAACTTGCCACTTTGGTTGCGCACTGTCACCATATTTAGTTTATGCATATTTGATATTACTAGCACATCCCTCTTATCCTACCGTTTACATATGGCGATATCTCCACAGCTAGCTCCCATTTCTTCCATTTGGCTGTAGTCACTTGGTGTGGATTTCCTTTTTTGGTCCCACGTAAAGTGTGACATATGTAAGTATTTTTTCCCCATCTTTCTTTCGAAATCAATTGAATTATAAAAGTTGTCTGTATACACAACATGTTCTTTTCTAAATATCTGTCCAAAAGATTCAATACCACATTCATTTGAATGTAAAGTACCTCGTTCTGGACGCTCACTTCTGCCTTCATAAATTCTTATTTTCAGCATGATAACCATTAGATTCAAATAGTTTATACAGTTTTACACTGTATTTATGTTTTTTGTTTTTGATGTACTGACTAAAGATTAACCGGCCTCGCCATAGGACCGTTGATTCATCAATACTAAGGCTTTTATACGGGTAGTAAATTTCTGCTATTAGCGTGTTGAAATTTTCCAATAAAGGTTTGATTTTGTATAACCTTTCGCTGGTCTGTTGAGTATTATCCGAAAAATGAAGAAAGCGAAGTAAGATTTGGAATCTGTTGTAACTCATAATTTTACAGAATAGTGGGTAAGTATATAGCCCATCTGTGCTCCCATATACAGTTACATACCAATAAGTTTTCTCATTTCTATCCCATTGGTGTCTTTCCAATATCTGAATTTACAATGCTGAATTGTGAGTCTTCACAATGCTTGTTTTGCGTAATTATTTGTCTCAATTACTATTTTATCTATGAACTCGTCAAAGAAAAATAAATCTGATTGATGACCTGATTCTCCAATGAAAATGAATTAGCGAGGACCTGACGAATAAAAATTTCACAGCAGTTCGGGATCGCATGATGGCCCTTCTTGTATGCTGCCGACATGGCTATTGGATTCGGATTCCGCACTTAAAGTTGACTTTTGTTCACTATCAGTATCCGGTAAATACTCATCCATAGAACCTGGAGAAAAATCACTGTCATCAGAGCTGTCCGACATGTGGAGTGAAGAAATATATATATATATATATAAATATATTTAAAAAAAACATCTTCGTCCTGAAAATTCCGTACTGTATCCTGTGGTCGTGGCATTTTATAACATCTAATCACACTACAAACCGTCCGAAACACCTCGCGTAGCGGTTGACTGACGCGCGGGAGAGAGAAGCGAGAGAAATGCGCGAGAGCGAGGGAAGGGACTTCACACCTCCTCTGCGGCGACAATCGTTATTGGCGTCTTGGACTAAGCCAAGCTATCTAGATGCTACACCACGACAATACTTGTATACGAATTTTATCATAGTTTGACGCCCATATTACACTCTCTGTATCGGTTGCCAACTATGTGTATACTTGTAAAAAACCATTTGTATAGTGGCAAACTATATCGATTATGAAAAAAAGTTGACAGTCAATGGGTTAAGTCATAAAAATCTATATTTAAGACATACTCAAGTTATGAGTTTATGTTAGATTTTAAAGTTTCTTCATGTCGAAATGGTTTTGGTATCTAAATAACCAGTTAGTAAAGTCGAACAGTCAGTTTAAGTAGGCAGTAATGTCAGTATATAAAATAATATAATCAAATCAGTCAAAACGACTCTTTATTCAAAAATAATTACCAATTACCAACTGTTACTGTTTAACTTCGGAAAATAACTTTTGTCTGTAACATATATTTTGTAACTAATGCAATATTAATTACTTATAATTTTAATTTCAAAGTACAAAAATAGTAATGTTTTAATGTTATGAAATCCTAATACAACTTGTGAGCCAAATAATCATGAAGAAAAATTATAATTTATAAATGATAATAAATTTTATTCTTAATTTTCTCTAAAACTTTTGAGCGAATGAATATTACAAGCACTGAAACTTTGTACATTTGCACTTTGTATTTGAAGTTATTTGTAAGTGCTAACTTTGGGCTGTTAATCTAAAGGCAAGCCAAAAATTATATAGTGACAATTAAATAATTTCACATTTTAAATCTGCATTTCAGGTGTAACACTCCCAATTTTTGAATCATATCAAGATGGCTCAGACACATATGAACTGGCTGGTCTCGCTCGAGGTGGCCAACAACTGTCTAAATTGAAAAAGAACTTCCAGAGCGCTGTTAAATTACTTGTTGAGTTGGCATCACTACAAACCTCTTTTGTTACCCTAGACGAGGTCATCAAAGTTACTAACAGACGTGTTAATGCTATTGAGCATGGTAAGATAATTTTTTTAATGGCTGTTGCTCATTTCATCATTTGATTATCATATGATAATCAAATGATTAAAAAAAAGTTATTCATACAATAATTCTATGATTGTAAATATTTATGGCTGTTGCTAATCATGCGATTATTATATGATTAACAAATAATAATTTACATGATAATCATATAAATAAAATATACCTATTTGTTTGATAATTTTTAAAATGAAAAAGTTCAATTTTCATTTATGGTTAATGATTTTATAATTGTAATGTAAGTACCTTAACCTACTGTCACCAATATTGCAAGATTAGTGTAATGTTTTGCTAAATGCAAATAGTTCAGGAGAAATCGGCGCATGAGTAATGAAAACTATTCCACCTCGGTTTTTTAATGCGATTCTCTTCAAACTGTCCTACTGATGATATAAATGCATTGTTGCCATGGGGTAATTTGGTGCTATGTTGTTTAAACTGATTTTTTCTTCAATTGAAAGGAATTGTTATTTAAAAAAATATATATTAAGAAATGTATAAAGTATAAATATTTTATTCTCGCTTAAAAATATTATTAACTATTGTCTTAAGAGTATAAAAAATATCTTTTAGTATTTATTCTTATTCTTTATATATTTTTAACGAGGCAAAAGTGTCCAAATTCGGCATTATTCAAACCTTTAGAAATTCATAACCCTGAAAA